GGGTGACATTCTTTTTATTCAACTGTTTCTGAAACAATTCCAGTTTATGAATGAAGGATTGGATGTGTTCATGCAGTCTTGTTGACAAATTGATCCTTCCCTTGTAATTTATATTCAAATCTGCAAGATACTTGGTGATGTCAACCAGGAATGCCAAGTCATTCAGCCATGCATCATCGTCCATGAAGCTGACATCTTTTCCTTTGTTTGTCATGAAGGTTTTAATTTCGTCAAGCAGTGACCAGAATCTGGCAAGTGTGGCTGCCCTGCTGAGCCAACAAACTTGGCAGAAGTAAATAATGTCATCATGGTCTGATCCTATCTCAGCAAGAAATGCTTAGAACTGTCTATGATTAAGCCCTTTTGACCTTATGAAATTGACTGTAGAAACAACCTTTTCCATCACATGTTTCATCTCCAGGGCCTTTGCACACAGTTGTTCCTGGTGAATGATGCAGTGATGTGTGATGACATCCTGAGGCACTGACTTGACCAGTAAACTGACAAATCCATTGTGCTTGCCTATCATCACAGGGGCTCCATCAGTTGTTAGACCACAGAGTTTGTCCTCTGGAAGATTGAATTCCAACAAGACATGTTTCACTTCATTGAAAATGTCCTGTCCCGTCATTTTTCCTTTCATTGGACATAAGTCGAGCAGTTCCTCAACAACATGGAATTGTTTGGTTATTCCTCGTACAAAGATTGCCGGTTGAGCTGTATCACTCACATCTGTGCTTTCATCAACCCCCAAGCTGTAAAACTGACAGGCACTGAGTCTTTTCATCAGTGAATCTTCAATGTTTGATGCCTTGTCATCTACCCTTCTAGCAACTGTCTGATGTGAAATGCTGATTTTCTCCACCATTGACTGTTTGTCAGGGAATACCACAGATGTCAATATGCCCAAGCAATCTTTCACAAATTCTCCATCAGACAGCGGTTTCCCTGTCTTAGCTATTGCCTCGGATATCAAGAAACTGATTTGGTTGCTGCCTCAGAATTCTGCGTTGCAGCTTTGAAAAAAGACTGTTGCCCATTCATGCTCTGTTTTAGAGAGTTCACCCGATCAATTCGAATCTGACCCACCAGGTTGTCAAATTTCTTTGCATGTTTTGTAGAATAATGTCGCTTCACCTTGTACTCCTTGCAGACAGCTACTTTCTCTCGGCAAATCAGACACAATATGTTCCCGTTTTGGTCAACAGCAAAAAAATCAGTGCTCCAATTATCTCTGAAAACTCGACATTCAGCATCAATTTTTTGTTTCCTCTGATTTGCCCTCTTTTGAGCGTATGGTAGGCCCTGTGGCTAATAGAGCCAAAATTAATTTTAGTAACAGGAAAACTAGTTTGGCAGAGACAGGTGAAGTTAAAAACAACTCACCAGTTCACAATCACCATTTTATTACTATGTAGTAGTACTGTGGTATCAATATGAATCCCCACCCATCAGGTATAGTCATAATATGTAAGGTACAACCTGACATGTGCAGGTGCTGCCATCATATTCCAAGTGCAGCTTCAAATGCCTCTCAGTAATGCCATCTAATGCCAGTTAATGCATCATATGCATGGTAAAGTCACCATATGTAAGGTACATCCTTGTATGTGCAGGTGCTGTCATCATATGCCAAGCGCAACCTCAAATGCCTCAGTAATGTCAGGTCCCGGCCCCAGGCAACAGATCCCAGCCAAAAGACCCCCCCTGCCCGCACTTACGTTTCGCTCGCGGCTCTGACTCCTGGCACCAACGACGCGCTCTCCAGTCACTGATGACCCACACTTTCACTGCCGGCTACGCCTCTTCCCACACGTACCGCGTCAGCAACGTCAAGCTGACGCAGTGCGTGTGGGAACCTTGTCCATTCCCCAGCCCTTCAGCAGCCATTAGGAAGCTGCTGAGCGGCTGGGGGAGGGACAAGGGGTGGGAATGAAAGTAAACAGCATTTACTTTTGTTTCCTGTCGCAGTACCTTGGGCCTCAGAAAACGGCTTGGCGGGCCACATGGCGGCCCATGGGACTTATGCTGGACAAACCAGTCCTAAAGGAAATAGCTACCCAGTGTCATTCATTGCCTCCAGAGCCTGGTATGCTTTACATGAACATAGCCAATGTAAGTTGCACCAACATCAATTTGTCCTTTGTTCTGGTCCTGAAGATATTGGCCCAAATTATGTCCACCATGAAAACCCTAATATCTCCTTTAAAAAAAAACTATTAAACATGTCTTTTTTACTTATTGTTTCAGTGCATCCATTTTAAACTTTTCAACGGTAAGTACTTGATCTAAAAGTATTTGTTCCAAATTAATTACTTGATGTGTCTCTAATATGAGCCAACTATATTACAGAGAAAACTAATTCTGTGGCCATTTTCATACAGCTTTGCTCTCTGTGCAGTTCATACTACTTAAGCTGGTAAAGTCCTTGAGTCACATCATAATAAAATTGATGTAAAGGAGTGAAAACAAATCACTCTGTTTTAAAATGAAAATACGGAAATTTGTGTCCAAAATGTATGGACTACAAAGTTCAGCAGTTAAATCTAACATAAGATGCGTGTCACAGTTAACCTAAAAATAATACATTATTAAATTATGTTCTTTTCCACCTTAGAAAGCCCATAGTATTCAGACTAGAAAAGGTAAATAAAAGACAAAACTACTATAAAATTTACAAAATATTTCACAATTTTATTAAGAATAATTTACACACAAATAAATTATCTTTAAAAATACTATTATATATTTTTATATTTAGTTTAAATTATAATGGTGTGGAAGTGGAAATGGTACTCCCTACAGTTACTCATCACACTCTATTCCCGAATCTTGGTCCAGTTCATCATCGTCTTCGCTATCTGAGTCTTCATAAAAGGAAATTGTGGCTTGAACAGGGAAATTTTTCAGAAGTGCTTCAGCCTCTTGATACAAGTAATCATAGCACCTTGATTTGGGCCAAAATAATCTGAAACAAATATGGAGCATATTTTATTTATTAAAAATACTGGCTATTGGGCCAGATCTAGATAGATAAGCTAAGCAACTACTGACAGAGGTGGCCTTAGGAGTGGGTGACATAGGCAATCACCCAAGGTGCTTTAGTCATGGGGGAGCCAAACATACACATGGACACACACGTGTGAGCAGTCCATACTCTCAGCAGCACTCTCCCCCTGTATCACCTTGCACCACCCCAGGCAGGAGGAGCAGTGCCCAGTCCAGCCCACCCCCTCCCCACCCCAGCCAGTGCTCAGGAGGAGCCAGGCTGGGCATGTGAGGGCAGAGGTGTTGTTTCACTTCCCTGCTGGACTTTGCCTCATGCCCCTGTCCACCTGCCTCTACCTGCAGCACGACCACTGACTGGGGAGAGGGTGCCAAAATTTAGTTTGGGAGTAAACGCCAAAATACAAGTTCACCAAGGGCACCATTTTCCCTAAGGGAGAGTCTGCCTACTGGAACTTAAACAGGATGTAGATGTCTATGTCACAAGAAAAACCCATATGAATGATAAAACTCATTAAGCCATCTGATCTTGGACTGCAGTGCTCCCTGGGCACTGAGATTTAATTCCTAGTGGGGGCAGCAAGGCAGCCAATTCCCATTGTAATCCAGATATAACACAAAGTATCACATTAACTCTGCGTAAAATCCTTAAGGGGCCCTATCTGGTAGGCATGATGTAAGTATGCTTAATATATATATCAACAATTCTGCATTCAGTGCAAAGTAAAGCAGGCAGTATCTCTTTCACTGAAACAATAACCCGAGAGAGTGGTGCCTGCTTTTTAAATAATAGCCATGGCTACAAGAAATGGGACACTAGGGTAGGACCTCTTCATTCTAAGGGGACTCAAACCAATACTTCCCAAAAAAGTGTCCTAACTGTTAGGTTAGAAATTGTCCAGGAAAGCCACTCTCCCACTCTCCAATTCTCCTCTTGAAGCTGAACCACTATGCAGCCAAAACATACAAGAATTACAGGACTAAAGCAAGCAAGAGTGAGCCTGAATCCATAGCACAGTGACTAAGGTATGCCTCCAGGGAGAAGGAAGCCTGAATTCCAGTCCTGGCTCCCTAGATTAGGGAAATGTAAAAGCAGTCATTGAACTGAAAAAAAATAAATAATCCTGAAGCAACTAGACACTGAGCATCCACACAAGTATTAACTGGTGATTCTGTAGTAGAATAAGTTTCTCTTTTAATGGAAACCCCTGATAGACATGTTTAAAATTATTAAAAACACATATCCAGAAGAAACCTAAAATAATCTACCATATAGTTTCTGATGCCCTGTTCTAACTTGACGGCTGAGATGCACTTCTAAAATGCAAATTGTGTGTGACTTGGTCAGCTGAGTTTTTGGGATCTAATGCAATGAATTCAATGGGTATTGAATCAGATCCCCCAAAGAATATGAATCATGGGAATTGCTCTGTTCCTAAGAATCAGATTCTCTTCTCGCATCAGTATATATCAGTATTCGTTCTACTGAAGAAAATGAAGTTGCAGTGATGTAGAACTGAAACAGGAGTAAGACCAGGCCCTGAGATTTTGTCACAGAATTCAGTTTTCATCCAAAAGAAAAAAAAAATCACTAGGTCTGATTTTCCTTTTCCCCTAGGTTTACACTTCATCAACTTCAGGTATCCTAATCTTTGCTAATATATTTTACTAGACAATTAGGTGCAGTGTCTGTAAAGGTGGAAACAGAGAATAGCAACATTTAAGTGTCAGACAAGAATGATACGCTGCACTTTGTGTACACTGCATTATTTAACTACAGTATACTGACCTTTTTTTTCATTTTGTGATCACATAACAAGGTTTATATACATTTACAACAGTTTTTAAAAAATAAATCATTCAGGAAAAATTAATCTCCTGTGATGAATGGCTCCCCCTCAATTTTTTCACATTTGAACTAAATATGACTCATACCCTGTGGGCCTAGGTTTTTAAAGTAGTCTCCCACATTGTGTCTGTCTATTAGAAACCACAAATAATGACAAATATCTTACTAATTAATTGACATAAAGCAATTTAGTAACTAATATAATTTACACATTCAACTAGTTAAAATTACAAATTGCAAGAAAAAAATTTAAATCACAAGTCTCCAGAAACAAAAGAATAGTGCAGTGAACACTATGAAATAAATAATTAATAAATACTACATCATCCATAATAGAAGAAAATATAAACAATTACCTTTTCTCTATTAATATAAAAATGCTGTCTAAGTTAGTTGACAGTAATAAATTGTTTAGGCTACAATTTCCTTCTTTATAAAATACATATCAACTATTTAGTTAATATGTATGAAAAGCTTCAATCCTACAGAGACATGCTTTTGGACGTTTCAGCAATTATATGGACTTCTTTGCTGTTACTCAAGTGTGTAGAGATAAGCACAATTACCAGCTTTTGCAGGACTGGGGACTAAGCTCTTGTGTCCTAGCTAAAATACCAGTTACATAACTAAATACTACCTACCCAAGCCACCTAGACACTATAAAAATAGAACTTGTTAAGTGCAATAGATCACTTGCAGATAGATCCCTTTCAGTTTCAATGACAATGATCCTTATTTCCTGACCTGAACAGTTAATGGTGTTGTATGCTACCAAACAGCTGACAAGTTCCATGTTACTAATGGATGGTAAGATTTCTGCTTGTAAAACGCTTTTGGATCCCTTGGGATGATAAATGCAAAATCATCATTCTAGTAGTTTTTATAATTTATTTGTATGGCTCTCAATCCAGCAAACCATTTTAAACCATTGCACACCTTTAAACATGTGAGGAGTCTCACTGATGTCATTAGTACTACCTCACACACTTAAAGATAAGCACATGCTTAAAGACCTGTTTTTAAAAAGATTTAGGTGCCCAACTCCCACCAAAATCAGTAAAATGCCTAAATACTTGCAACATTGTGCACTGGGCAGAGTTCAGCTGCTCAGGGGCTAAAATGCAAAATGCAGGTTTCCTGACGAGATGGCTGTACCTTTTTCTCACCTAGTTTCAAACCACATAGGTGTACAGCAGCAAAAACACTGGATGGTCTAAGAAGGAGACAAAACCCCATAACATGCTTCAGGAAATAAATACTACGAGTCACTACTTGAAACAACAAGAGAAGAGGTTGTTCCTTAGATAGGCACTCACCTAACTGGATGTGTATATTGTGTTAGCTTTCTTGAGGCTTCTGTCATCCCATATGGACTATATGGCTGGGGAAAAAAATAATAATAAAAAGGCTGGGAAGCAACTTACTCAGTACTTGTTAAACAGTAATGTGATAACTGGTAAAGATGAGCTCTCCAGCAGTAATTCAGAGCCTTACTTTCCTACCCCCCAGGCTGTGGGTTAAGGCCAGGAAAGCTCCTTGCAACTAATGCACTGACCATTTTCCCACATGGCGATTTTTAGGTGGGGGTTAATTCCCCGTTTCCTTTTTTTAAGACACCCATGGCCCAGGTCTCTGAGTGAGAGAGCAGGGCAGGGACCTGTCCTGCCTAGGGTGCCCATCATAGAGGGCATTCTGGGTGTCCTCCATTGATACGAAACCTGGCGCCTATTTGCTCTTCAAGAGAAAACTAGAGGACATAAAGGCGTCGGGTTTCCTATCACTAGAGGACAGAGGACAACCAGGCTGTCCTCTCTGATGGCCACCCCAGCCCTGCCGCAGCAGGTATCCCATGGCCAGGGCCGGGATCACTCACCCCACTTGGATTTCTTCTTAGGCCTCTCTCGGACTCGCTCCGCGTAGGGATCCAAGGTCTCCAGTAGTCCCCGGACCTGCAGGGCCAAGGACACGGGCTGTTAAAGAGAGCTGCGCCTGGGACGGCTCGCTCCGTTTCCGCAGAGCAAACTGCTGGAAAAGGAAAGGGGGGCAGCGGGGTGAAAAGCGCCTCCAGGCTCCTGCAGTTGTGCCCTCGATCGGCTTAAAGGCAGGGAAGGGAAGGAGGGCGCAAGAGCCGAGGGGGTGCAGCTACCCGCGCTCTTCCCCGGCGCCTCCCCGAGCGGACCCGGCCCCGGCCCCGCTGGCCGAGCAGCTGCAGCAGCCCCGGGCGCCCTCCATGCCCCGGACCGGCGGCGACGGGTACTGGAGCGGGGCGCTCCTCTGCTAGCCCGCGGGCCAGGGGCTTTTATATTCCCTGCCTGGTGCCAGTGAGGACCCCCCGCCCCCTCCCTCCCCCGTATGCATTTGCCAGCAAGGGGAAACAAAACAAAAAGGGTCGGGGGCCGGCATCCGATCCGTGCAAACAAGAAGCGTGGACGCGTGCGAGCCCCAAATGGCCCCGGGAACGATTTGGCAGGTCCGTGTTAATCACACCCGAGCAGACACATGGCTGCTGTCAGCCTGGCAACGCGGCGCCGGGGCTGCGCGGGGGCCAGGGTGGGAAAGGAGCAGGAGCAGCTCCTGGTCGTTTGCAGCAAAGGTCGGCTTTGAAAGGCGCTGAAACATTATTCCGGAGGGGATCCCAGAGGAGAATAAAAGCCCATCACCCCTGAAGAGGTGGGGAGGAAAAAACCCACACGACTTGGTTCCCCCGAAGGTTTCCCCCCTGCTTCTCAGGATCTAATACGTTCTGCTGCAGCAGAAAGCAAATCACAGTAAATGTACAAGAAAGCAACGTTTTATTTCTCCTCCTAAACAATAGCACAAGGCCTTCAGAGAGGACAGCAACATCTAAGGCTGGCAATTACTGGAGTGCAAAGGAGCCCTTTCTTTCTTGAGGACTCACCTCCAAACGGGCTCTCACCTGCAGGATTTCATTTACGTAGCAGCCAGCCTGCAACTTCTGTAAAACAATGGTCTTCTTAAAAAAATGAATTTTTACCCATTGGAAGTGTCATATCAGTCATCCCTACTGTGCTGAGACAGAAAAGGGTATTTCATTTAGCAACAGTAGACAAAGCAATATGTCCAGCCTCATTCCATTTAATCCATTATTATAATATAATATTAACATATATTTGCTTAGACTACTGTGCACTTCCCAGATTCTTAATCTGATTTTAATGATTCTCATAATTTATAAGAATTCTTTACTGTATAGGAGTATACTTTTCCCAGAGCCTGACAAAGGTTGCAGAAAAGGACAATTTCTTGCCATTTCCCAGTTGGTCTAATAAAAGGTGTCATTTTGGAACCAAGGGTTCTGGTTTTTTGTATGTCTTACTGTATAGGATGATTTTGCCCCCCAAGGAAATGGGTATATCTAGACATTAATTCAGTCTGGTTGAGGCACTGATGCAGCTTTATTCCAATGTACAGCTACCAATGACTTGAAAAATGCATGGTATACAATGAGGTTAATTTCTGCTTCACAGGGAAGTTTTGGGGATGTGTTTATTAATGTGCAGATCCTGCAGCAATGAGAATAAAAAAGCCAGTCGATAACAATATGTTATTTGTGGGAAGGGCAGACAAGATTCTTTAGGTAAATCCAATATCTTTTGGGTACAAACACCCTTCTTTCGTCCAAGGAAGCATCTGCAGTTGTTCTGTGCTGTTCCTTGATGGGGTAAAATAGAATAGAAGCCAGAGGCCAGTAATCAAGAAAGCTAGTCAGTAAAAATGCAAATTGAGGCAATTAATGTGTGAGAAACAGAGGTGGGGGGTGGGGAAGTGGGAAGGGTAATGCAGACCTGGGTTAGGGACAGAAGTTACACATAAACCAGTTTAAGTGATCAGAAACTGGTTTAAACCTGTAACAGAACAGAAGTTCACTGCACATAAACCAGTTTCAAAATGGCCAAAACTGCTTTAAGATAAACCTGGCTGAATGGAGTACCAGACTTAACTGATTTAGGCCAAACTGGTTTATGGAAAGGTTCCAGACCCTTTCCTGGTTCAAGTTAAATCCCAGTCTCCCAGCATCCCAAAATGCTTTGCAGGCCTGGGCTGGGTTATGCTGTCTGCTGGAGCAGGGCAGGGTTGGCCCCGCCCCTCTGCTCCTTAGCTCAAGCTGTGAGGGCTGGTTGACAAGGGGGTAGAGGTAGGAAACCGGGCTGGGGACACAGCCCAGTCTGCGTGGTGGGGACAGAGCAGCCCCTGCCAGACTTTTCTTCCACTGGAGCAGAGGGGGCAGTGGCATGGGCCAGCAGGTTCAGGTGGAGGGGAGCAAGCGGAGTTTAAATCCGCTGTATGGCCCACAAGACCCCCAGCCCGGGTCTGCGTGGAGGGGGACTGCCACACTTCTGCCCCCCTACCCCACTCCTTGCTCCAGCCGAGAGCAGGAGATGTGGCCACACACAGGTCAGGACCTGCAGGGTGAGGAAGAGAAGTGGGGTTTAATCTTCACTTCCTCTATTCTCCCACTGGCATGAGACCCCAGCAGAGTCTGCCTGGCTTCCCATCTCCTTCCCCCCCTCCCCGCCGCTTGCCACTCAAGTGGCAGAGGCATCGCCAGATGCCAGCCCCGGGCAGCAGCCTGGGGCCAGCATCTGGCCACACCCCCTTCCACTCGAGTGGCAAAAAAATGCCAGGCAGACCCTGGCTGGGGTCCAGTGCCAGTGGGAGAGGGGAGGGAGGGGGGTACAATTCCCCTCCTCCCCCTTTGCCTTACATCATCTGGCCATGCCCCACCACTCAGGAATAAGCCTGGCAAGGGCAGCTTCCCCCTTCTACCTTCAGGCACACCCTGGCTGGGGACCATGCAGGTTAGGGTGGAGATTTAAACTCCTCTCAGTCATACTCAGCAGCCTGCCTGGCCACAGCCCCCTCCTCAGCTCAGCTTCCCTTCAGTCTTCTGGCCACTGCTGAAGGGAAGGTAGGGCTTGCTCTAGCACCCCCCAGCTTCTAGCCTGGGCCACTGCAGGCATGTGGCTGCATTTCCAGAATCAAAAGTGAATGTCTGTTTACTTGCTTTGCAGTTCAATCTATGCAGTTTAGACTAACCTGCAAAGATTGAATCAATTCAGGCTCAGGCTTTTTGAATGTCTGTCCTTAGCCCTGGTGATAAGATGTAGCTGGTGAATAGTGGAGAGGTTATCTGGGATATCAGATGTTAGACAGGTTATAATGTGCTATAAATCCAATGTCTATATTTAGTTCATGATTTTTTGTATCCAGTAGGTTGATGAAGTGAAGTTCGTAGGCTCTCTGAGAAAGGTGTTTTGTAAATTTTGTGGGTCGAGAGTAGTCAAGCAGGAGGAATGAAGATCCAGTTATTATAAACAACAATACCATCCTTTGAAAGAGTGCTACCCTGCCGATTGCTTGCTTGATTGTATACCAGTTAACTGGCTGGGCATCATGTACCAATCCGAAGCCCTGCTCCTTTTGTGGAGGGGCTAGCCTTTTTCTGGTGGTATACAGCCACAGTGCTGCTGACCAGGCTCTGACCAGTGGGACATGCAGGTAAAAAATTCCTTGTGCCTTCTCATTTGTGTTTTGAATATTTATTAGTGCTGTACCATGTTTTAGATGCCTAAGTCAAGACAGCAGACTTCATAACCTTCTGCTATTTAACCAGGAACTGAAGAAAGAAGGCTTATATAGTGAAAAATAAATGTTACATAACCACACTTTCGACTTTTGGCACATTTGTGATGGGTTCTGCCCAAGTCATCATCAGGCATTGGATCACTGAGTGTATTCAGTTGCTTCAGGGTTTGTTTCATCTGATCACCAGAAGTGCTGACTGCCTTTTAAAGGGGAGTTATGAGTCAAAGAAATTAAAAAAAAACACATGCTTTCAGTGTGGAATATGAAACACTGCAATGGCAAAGACAAATCAACAATTTAAAGGGTAAGGTTCCTAGAGTAGATGTATGTCTCTTACTGTAACACACACACACCAATCTAAATCATTCTCCCTTCTTATTTTTATCATAGGGGTGTGGTAGCACAGCAGTTAAGGCATGATGGCAGAGGCTCCAGAGAAATGAAATTAATGTCTATTCCAGATTTGTGCCAAAGGTTGTTCCTGCACATTCAAACTGCAAAAGGATGCCCAGGTGTTCAGTGTGCAGATGCAGAGATGGCCAGATAGGGCGCATCCAGATGAGTGCCCAGGGCTCCAGCAGTGGGGATCTGGACTTGCAGAGCCTGCCAGCAGCCAGAGTGTGGCTCTGGCCAGCCAGGCTCCTGTTTCAGGTGGTGCATGCTGCCCCACGTGCACCACCCTGTTGTTTTCTGCTGCAGGTTTTTTTTACACCAGGATCTCCGGTGCAATCCATGCAAATTAGCAGCATGGTGAATGCCTGCATGTGAGGAGTGTGCGGTTTGCGGTGCTGCAGACAGGTCTACAGCACCACAAACCGCACATGCACACTTGTATGGACACGCCCACGTAGTGCACACTAATGGCTTCACTCCTTTGTATGCTGTTATCTACATTAATTGGTGTGCCTTAATCATACAAGCCCAATGGGCAGGTAGCACTGAGTGGATCTTTTGGAGTTCATGGTATGCAAAAGTTGAAGAAGTTAGAGAGAGCCTGAACCAAATGCTCAGTGGTAGTGGGTAGCAATCCTATAGTATCATGAGAGGGGACAATATGAGGAGTAAAATAGTGTGTGCGATTATGAGAGTTATAAATCAAGTTATAGCACTATCCTTTCTATTTCCAAATCACCTGTGTGGAACAACTTCAATAGAAATAGTGCATACAATTAGATGTTTAGACGAAGATAGATGACAGAATATTTTTTTGAATCACTGAAATGTGAGTGCCATTTTTTCTAACTCATCTTTCCAAGAAAATAAATAGCACAAGCAACAGAGTAGAAGAGATGGATACCATATTGCCTGTAGAATAAAACCAGAACTATTTCTATCATAATAGTAGGTTGAAGAGCACTGAGGACAGTATGAATTTTTTCCTCAGTCACAAAGGTGAACCATGTTGTCCACACTCAAAGTGAAGCTGAAGAAAGCACAGTTAGAATTAAAAAATTAGTTCACAACTTTTGGTGGTGACCCTTAATTGCCCCAGAGTTCAGAGCTGTTCTTTGTATCTGCTCTGTATGAGAAAATGTCCTAAGGAAAGTGTGGCTTACCA